TCTTATAAAAAGATAGAATGTGAAAGAGGAGAAACTACATGTAATAGAGAGGAAAGGTATAGAGAAGAACCACAGAGACTGGCTATGTGTACATAATGCGAGAGAGATAAAAATACACTTATGAGGTGTATTAAGTGACATATCAATATGCTATTCACTGTTTTTCTGTTCAAGAGCAGTGAGCTTGACCCATAAGTGAGTAGTGAATGTCAAAAAGGATGATGGAACTGGTCTGCACCTGCCCTAGGTGCTACACCCAAAGGACCACCAGAGATTAGTATTCCCTTCCCTGGCAATAGGTAAGCAAATACCTTCCTCCTACACAACATTCCCTATCGCCTCCCCCCACACACACTGTAAAGGACAGCCGTTATCACTCCTCCAAGACACATAACAGCCACAATACACCACTAAACCTACACACACACAATACAGCCCCAATCTCCTCCTAAACAAACACTGCAGCCCCTATCCCCTCAAACACACAGTAAAGCTCCAATCCTCCCAAGCACACACTACAGCAACTATACACATAAACACACTTTACCACAAAATACCCCTCCATACATGCAACAGTATGAGTAGCCTCCCCCATCCCTATACATGCAATACTAATGTCTCTACCCCCCCCCCCCAATATACACAACCCCACATACAGCAACCTCAGAAACAAGCAACATCCCGACTAGCCTAAACTCACACATGCGCCCCCACCATTAACCATCTAATCCTACGTTAAAGTAGTTGCATTCATCTATCGAATCACTTACACCAAGCTTTGTGTGTATGTATGTGTTTGTGTTATATATATTTTCTTTTGCGTGTATGAGGGGGAGTGATGTATTAAGGAAACTGACCTTAGGGTAGCAAGTAGGGGGAATCCAGCCCTAAGTGGCTTGACAAAATATAATTTCATGTGAGGGCTTGGCTGTTGTCTGCCGTTCAAAAATAGCATGCACACTAGTCTCCCAGTGGAGCTATATGCTGGATATCAGCTCTGCAAGGGAAAAAAGATTATAAACCCACATTTTTTAACCCTGGCAGTGAGAGCTTGTTTACTCAAAAAGTGACTAGCAGGGCTGCCACAAGAAATTTTGGGGCCCCTGACACATCCCACAGTCTGGGCCCCCCGGGGCCTGCCCCCCAAGTCCGTCCACATGACCTGCCCCAAGTCCGCCCACATGACCCGTCATCAAATCCACCCACCCACAGGGTCCATCTTAAGTCCACCCACAAGGATGAAGTGTGTGTGTACTGAATTTGTTCGTGTGTGTATAGTGGCTATAGAATCTGTGTAGTGGATACAAGGTGCGTGAGTAAAGTGGATACACTGTTTATAGTGGATTCAGATTGTATGTTTTTGTAGTAGAACAAAACCAAAAGAAGAGGTACAGTTTGTGGCGCTAGAGAACAGCTGCTAGAACACACTAGTGGGGTTTAATCACAAAAATCCCACAGAAACCAAAACACAACAATACAAAGAAGTGTGCAGCGCATGTAATAGATTCACAAAGATATATATATATATATATATATATATATATATATATATATATATATATATATATATAATCTCTCTCTCTCAGTGGTACTTTCACCTTAGCTGAATGTGTGAATCAAAATAAAAATAAGGATAAATACCCCAATATAATAGATGTCAGTAGGTATAAACCCTGTACATAAAGAACAGAAGAATCATAGCATAATACTGCAATGGTGAGTAGATCTAATATAGTAGTCTATATAGTCCAACTCACATATGGTGGAGCCTGTTAACAGGGGAACTGGCTCAGGTAGTGTCACTTTAAGAAACATTCTCAGGTAAATTCCAAAAGGATGAAGCTTGGTCCTCAATATATAGGAGGAACAGGATAGGCAAACACCAGTTAGAAGTATAACAATAGTATCAGTTATTAAAAAAATATATAAAATCTTACATTCAGAATTCTGGGATGCCAACAAGGAGCACAACACGTTTCCACGCTAAAATACGTCTTCCTCAGGTGCAATATTAGAAACAAACTCCATACACTTTTAAAACAGAATTTTGGCGCGGAAACGGGTATTAAGAACCCGCCCCCTACGCCATTAGACCAATCAGAACTGTCCCTTTCATCTTCCAATCCGGGCTTTGATAGTGCCATAATCATATCCCCCTACTTCCGCATTCATGCGTTCCACCACTGGTACTTCTGGGTTCGCCTGCGTTCCACCTGTAATACTGGTGCGTTCCAACACTTTTTTTATATGCGTCTTGCTTAAAAATTCACTGCGGTTTATATTCATTACGGACTGCTTAAAGCAGTTTTTCCAAAATCCTTTATAATTCTTTATCATTCACAAAGCAGTCCTTACATATAAAAATGGCTCAGGGGAAAGAAGGAAGTGGGGAAAAAAGGGGGAAAATACATAACATATAATTAATAAAAATAACCACAAATAAAAGAAATATTAATAAAAATAATAAAAATCTTCTAATACAAAAAAGGATATAAAATATATTATATATAATTATACATCTCAAAATCAATATTTAAGCCGTTAGGAGAGAGGGTTTCCAATTCAAAAAATCCATTTCATCTTGGTTTTATTTAAGATTCTTAAATGGTCACCCCCCTCCACGGCTTTTGTATCATCTGTATCCCCATAAAATGCTAATGATTTGTTTCACCATTGTGAATTTGATTAACATGTGCTGATGCAGAGTGATTGAGAACTCCCTTCTGTACATTCCTAAGATGTTCACAAATTCTAACCTTTAAGGGTCTGGTAGTACGTCCTACATATTGCAATCCGCAAATACATGTCAATAAATAAATCACATTATTCGAATTGCACGTAATAAATTCCTTTACAGCATATTCTTTTTTGGTTTTGTGAGAATAAAATGTTTCAGTTTTCCTATTTACAATTTTACTAGTATTACATGCTTTCAGTTGCCACAGTTATAAAACCCTTTTAGATCATTACCCTGTACATCTCTATTTTTTGGGGGGAGTTTTTAGGGATAAAACTGCTAGTTAAAACATTAAGATTGCTGGCACCTCTATATACTAATACTCATGGTTTCTCTCCTACAAATGTAAGGTCGTCTTCATTTTGTCTCAAAATATGCTAGTGTTTAAGGATTTTATGAAACAAGTGACTTTGAGAATTATAATCACATACAAAAGAAACTTGTTTTTCTTGTATATTGTCCTTTCTTTTATATACTAAAAGATCCTCTCTAGGTTTTGTACGTATTTCTTTAAATTGAGTTTCTACATATTCCCTTTTATATCTTTTTTTGATAAAATTGTTTTTTAAGAATACCAGATTGTTCTAAAAAGGTTTTTTCATCTGTGCAATTCCTTTTTAGCCGCATAAATTGTCCTTTTGGGATGTTGGAAAGCCATGCTTTAAAATGCCAACTGTCATTGTCAATATAACTATTGACATCGACAGTTTTAAAAAAGTGCTAGTCTTAATTGTCCCATTATCTACAAATATTCTTAAATCCAGAAAATGTACTTCCTGACAACTAATCTCTGAGGTAAGTTTAATATCCCAGGAATTATTGTTTAAAAAAAGCAAAAAAATCATCCAATGAGGCTCTATTCCCTTTCCAAATAAAATTTTTTGTCGATGTACTGCCTATAGAGGACCAAGTTCTCCCCCCAGTCATGCTGAGCATATATAAAAGACTCTTCCCAATATGCCATAAATAAATTAGCATAATTGCAATATATAGGACGTACTACCAGCCCCCTAAAGGTTAGAATTTGTGAACATCTTAGGAATGTACAGAAGGGAGTTCTCAATCACTCTGTATCAGCACATATTAATCAAATTCACAATGGTGAAACAAATAATTTGCACTTTATGGGGATACAGAGGATACAAAAGCCGTGGAGGGGGGGTGACCATTTAAGAATCTTAAATAAAACCGAGATGAAATGGATTTTTGAATTGGAAGGTTTATACCTACTGACATCTATTATACTGGGGTATCTATCCTTATTTTTATTTTGATTCACACATTCACCTAAGGTGGAAGTACCACTGATATATATCTTTGTGAACCTATTACATGCGCTGCACACTTCTTTGTATTGTTATGTTTGTGTAGTGAACAGTGTGTGTGTATAGTGAATGCAGAGTGTGTGTTTCTGTACTGGATGCACTATGTGAATAGTGAATGCAAATTGTGTGTTTGTGTAGTGGATGTAGAGTGTGTGTGTATAGTTAATGCAGAGTGTGTGTTTGTGTAGTGGATGTAGTGTGTGTGTGTGTGTGTGTGTATAGTTAATGCAGAGTGTGTGTGTAGTGGATATATATTTTTTGTGTGTAGTGGAAGTAGTGTGTATATAGTGACTGCGGTGTATGTGTAGTGGATGTGTGGTGGAATTTCGGTGAATGTAAATTTAGTAGGCCAAGATTTCCATGTGGCATATGTGTATGTTGTCAGTTAGCTACACGTAGCGAGGATACAGTCATCAATGTACTGAGCATGTGCAGGAATGCAGAAACTGAAATTGCACTAATTTCCTTTGTCTTGGATGGGCCATGTGGTTTGACTAGATGTACAAGTCTATATTCTGCTCATTGATTGGTTAAAGGCATATGTGGGTGTAGCTATTAATGGGAGGAGTTATAGTGCTATATAAGGAATGTATACCATGTGTTGGTCTCTCAGAATTTTGGAACAGGAGTTCATCTGAGACCCGATCGGTAATGTGAATAAAGGCCTCTTACTTCCTGAATACCTGTGTCCATCTCTGTGTTTGGCTTCTGCATGCTTACACTGTTACAGATGTAGTATGTGTATAGTGAATGCAGTGTGTGTATGAGTAGTATAATTGATAGGATATTTTGGGATTCTGCTAGTATACCTACAATAGAGAACAAAACCTAGTGCAAATATTTCTAAATATTATAAAACTTCCAATGATTGAAATGCACTCACATATTCCAGAAAAATAAGCGTGTTATGGGTGCCTCCCCTCGATGGAAATAGGGGGGTTATCTCCTATTGATTTTTCCTCCTCAAGTGATAGCCAATGGGGTAGCCATTGGCTATCACTTGCGGAGGAAAAATCAATAGGAGATAACCCCCCTATTTCCATCGAGGGGAGGCACCCATAACGCTTATTTTTCTGGAATATGTGAGTGCATTTCAATCATTGGAAGTTTTATAATATTTAGCAATATTTGCACTATGTTTTGTTCTCTATTGTAGGTATACTAGCAGAATCCCAAAATATCCGATCAATTATACAGTTCTGTTATATGGTTATCAGCTGGGAGATAACCTTGGGAAGCAGTGTACCTATCAGTTTTTTTTTTTTTTTTTTTGTGATTTCACACTTTTTTCACGGGTGTCCGTGGTTTTATGTGTATGAGTAGTGGATGATGTATGTAGTGGATGCAGTTTGTGTGTTTATGTGGATGTGGTGGATGTGCGACATGCTGATGGGAGGTATTTTTTTGATGTTGAATTTTTATAATTTAAAAAAAAAAAATGTATTCCCTCCTCCCTGCCTCTTACCTGTGGCCAGGGAGGGGGACACTGGATTCCCTGGTGGTCCGGTGGCTCCGCTTGTTGGGCCAGCAAAGAGAAGCCCAGCAGACTCCCTCCTGCCAGCCAGTGCTCTATTTCTGACACGAGCCCAGCATGCATTGCGTGCCGCGGAGCGTTGTCATGACAACCCGCGGCAACGCTTTACAGCCGTGGCTCACAAGAGTGCTGGAGGGGAAGGTAAGTAAGGTAAGTATACCCTGGGCCCTGCTTGGAAGCCAGCAGAGCCCGCAGTGGCATATATACATAGCGGTACTCGAGATATATATATATATATATGGGCTGGGGGCCTGGGCATGCAGAGGATTACCTGTGCAGTCCTGGCCCGCTGGGCCAGTGACAACAGTCATGGTTGTCACCCCCTGATGAGGGCCCTGGTGACTAGGGCACTAGCAATGCACATTTATACTCCTAACACTATAGTCTTCCTTTCAGGCTTGCTATTACTGTAATTGGCTCATAGGACAATCAATCCGCCTGAAGACCAAACTAAAGATTGCGTGCTTTGGATTATCGCTCGCCGACATAAACATTGAATGAATTATCTAAGGCTAATCTTCTAAACAGTAAATGGCTAGAGTTAGACATGGTTAGGTTTAGAGAGTTTGTGATTTTAACCAATATCAAACTATGATGCCATTTCTAATTTGACACTGTGAATTCCACCAAATCCTTGTGTAGGATACTTCTGTACGAGGGAGAAAAAGTAGGAAATATGTCTGGGTTCATAGAATGGGTTTGAAATTCAAAAATAAACTTCAATATGTCGGTGAAAGAAATTAAAATTTAATGCACATTTGGCAGAAACTGAATGTGAAGGAGCTTGGTAAAAAAAAAAAAACCTCTAAATGCTCCATAAAGAATAGCCCAAGTTGTCTTATTTGGCAAATGGTATACCATGTAAACCAAAATTTTAATTGACATGTCTATAATTTGACAGTATAACAATGGTGAGAGTATTACTGTAAATGACAGCATTAACAGGGTAAAAGTCTGGATTTTTTACACGGATGGTATTCAGAAGTAATCCTGAAAATTATGTGTGAGGAAATCCGCACACACAAAAAATAAACATAACCAGCAATTTCGCAGGGTAGGTGATGAATGATAAAATTAAAATGGTTAAATATCCTAATGGGTCTACTTTCTACAAATATATATGCATTGTATGCAGTTTTCATATCCTGTGACAGTTATAGTTTTATAGTCTCTGCGTACCGTGTGTATATATATTTCCACTTACAGAGAAAGCTGTAAATTACTGTACAGATAAAGAGCCAAAAAGGCCACTGCCGTGAACACCTGAAATTTCTGAAAACCTTTAATCACAGGCTTGGAACTACTGGTAGTGTAGCCGGTGTGACCACAAAAGAGACAGAGTGGGACAGGCCTGCTGATGCTCTAAAGGACATTTTGGTGCCTTCCTGTCTGCAGTGGCACCACTGGAGATTTCTGCACCAAAATCCAGGGAGGCTCACTGGGGCCTGGGGGAACACATGGGAGGTGCACACACTAGTAGAGAGAGAGCATATTGCTGTTTGTGTGCATGTTTGTCAGTGTGGATCTGTGTTTGTGTGCGCGCATTGTTTCATTTATACCATATTTGCAGATGTGCATTGTGACAAACGCTCCTTACTCTGGACGTTTGTCACGAACTCCTGGAGGAGTTTGCTAGCTAGCCTCCTGCCCAAGGACGTTGGGCCACATACAAAGACCCTTTTCGGGAGTTAAGTCTCCCCAGGCTCCATTACCAGCTTTCTCTGGGTACCCCTGGTTCGGCACTTTCCCTTCATTCGAATGGAACCAAACACTAGCTCCCTGGCGGCCGTTCACATGAAGAAACACACAAATTGTCCTCAGCGGTACTTATCCGCGAACGTTAAGGAACTAAATTCGGCATGAGGACTTCGTGGGTTCCTGGTCACCTCAGCGGGACTTAGCTGCGAATATTATGGAATCGTTTTTGGCATGAGGTGACAGTGCGGCTTGGTCTGGTGTTTTAAACTACTTTGAAATCCACCAGGAGAGCGCTTTTTGGAGGGAAGGTGCCTGAGACTAAGGGGTACAAACGCTACCAGAGACCCAGGCGGAGCACCCTGTATTGCTGCCACAGGAGCTCCCGAAAGTTGACAAAATGCCCTGGAACGGTTTTGGGCATGGGACAATGTGTGCGACCGGTCAGAACTTTGACACGGTGGCATTTTCCCTACACTGCATGTATAGGAGAGCTTTTTGGACTGAAGGTGCCTGAGACTAGGAGGAACAAACGCTACATAGGAGCCAGCCGGAGCACCCGGTATTGCGGCCGCAGGAGCTCCCAGAAGTTGACCGCAAACGAACCAAACGCCCTGGAACTGTTTTGGGCATAGAACCATGTGTGCGGCTGGTCAGAACTTCAACACAGTGGCGTTTCCCCTACACTGCATGGATCTAAGCACTATTTGGAGAACTTGGGCGCTCAGATCAGGGCTATTTAACAATATATAATTTATGGGGGTTTTTATTTGTTTTGTATATATTTTTTATGTATTTTATGTTTTTATGCCAAATCACTCTGACAGAGGCATTTGTGGGCATTTTGTGGGAGTGTTCTGGGTGTGTTTTATTGCATCCTTGTTTTGTATACAAGTGGGCCAGTTGGTCAGATTAAACACATTAGTTTCTACCCTTTATCTAGGCTGATGTTTGGGGAATTGGGTGCTATAATCACTGCTTCACTGGGGATTTGGGAGAACTACACCCTGTTCCAAATTATTATGCAAATTCTATTTAAGTGTCACAAAGATTAAATATTTTGTTTTTCAGTTTAACTCATGGATGTCATTGTGTCTCAGGGCTCTTTTGATCACTGAAAACAATCTCGGACACCTGTGATAATTAAATTTCCAGGTGAGCCCAATTTAAGGAAAAACTACTCAAGGAGGGTGTTCCACATTATTATGCAGAGCACCATTTTCTCATGCAATATGGGGTAGAAAAAGGATCTCTCTGCTGCCGAAAAGAGTGAAATAGTTAAATGCCTTGGACGAGGTATGAAAACATTAGATATTTCATGAAAACTTAAGCGTGATCATCACATTAAGAGATTTGTGGCTGATTCAAAGCACAGACGGGTTCATGCAGATAAAGGCACATTGAGAAAGATTTCTGCCAGATCCATGCATCGGATCAAGAGAGCAGCTGCTAAAATACCATTACATAGCAGCAAACAGATATTTGAAGCTGCTGGTGCCTTTGGAGTCCCACGGACATCAAGGTGTAGAGTCCTCCAGAGTCTTGCAGCTGTGCATAAACCTTCTATTCGGCCACCACTAACCAATGCTCACAAGCAGAAACGGCTGCATTGGGCAGAAAAATACTTGAAGACTAATTTTCAAACAGTCCTGTTCACTGATGAGTGCCGTGCAACCCTGGATGGTCCAGCTGGATGGAGTAGTGGATGGCCACCCTGTTCCAACAAGGCCACGACATCAGCAAGGCGGTGGTGGAGTCATGTTTTGGGCCGGAATCATGGGAAGAGAGCTGGTCAGCCCCTTTAGGGTCCCCGAAGGTGTAAAGATGACCTCTGCAAAGTATGTGGAGTTTCTGACTGACCACTTTCTTCCCTGGTACAGAAGGAAGAACTATGCTTTCCGTAATAAAATCATCTTCATGCATGACAATGCACCATCTCATGCTGCAAAGAATACCTCTGCATCAATGGCTGCTATGGGGATAAAAGGAGAGAAAGCCATGGTGTGGCCTCCATCCTCCCCTGACCTCAATCCTATTGAGAATCTTTGGAGCATCCTCAAGCAAAAGATCTGAGGGTGGGAGGCAGTTTACATCCAAACAGCAGCTCTGGGAGGCTATTCTGACATCTTGCAAACAAATTCAAGCAGAAACTGTCATAAAACTCACAAGTTCAATTGATGCAAGACTTGTGAAGCTGCTATCAAATAAGGGGTCCTATGTTCAAATGTAATGTGACCTGTTAAAATGTTTAAAAAGTTAAAATGTTGTTATAAGTTTGATTGAAATAGCTTTTGATTTCAGTAAATATGCTGCAAACACAACAAATGACAATTTTCAGTTCTTTACAACCTATAAAGTGTTTTGAAACTTACTGTGCGTAATAATTTGAAATAGTGCATTGTAAGTTTGTTTAAAAAAAGATACTGTTATTAGGTTTGTTCAATAAAATTTGAATTGTACTCTTAATAGTTGATAACATGATAATTATGCTGACTGTTATTTACATCAATTATTTAGGTTAATGAGAAAGAAATATCATTTGCATAATAATTTGGAACAGGGTGTACAGCGTATATTCTCAGTCGGAGTATAGGGGATTCATTACATGCATGAATTTGAACAGTGTCAGGGTTAATCACTAATGTGAGAATTTAAAGTGAATTTCAACTTTGAGCTGTAAGCATAAGTTAGTTGGTGAATTTTTCCAATTTGACTATTTTGACCTAAAGAGTTTTTAATTCACTTTTGTTGTGGTCGACCAGCTGTTACATATATGTTGACTGTTTGCAGAGAGTTTTATTGCAGT